CGGAGATAACTTGCTGTGGCCTTTCGCTGCAGGGATTTTTGCATAACACGTTGATCCCCAAACTCTGAGGTGGTTAACAGTTTGCCGTTTACCGGTCCATTCCTCCTCTGGAACCTTCCCTGGGTGCCTTGATGATGGCAGCAGATTTCCAGTCTTTATCGCATAGTCGCAAGCCTCGGCCCACCACCCATCAGACATCTTTGCTTCTAGGAGCAGTATTCGGACCGTCCCAAAGACGATACCAAGCGTCCGTTCAGCCATCCCGTTGGCTGCAGACGAATAGGGTGCTGTGAACTCAATGATCACACCCTTTTCTATGCCCCACGTCTTCCATAGGTCATTGCGAAACTCGTTATCGCACCGGATTTTCTTCAGCTTCTTCCCTGTTTGTCTTTCTGCCATAACAGTGAACTGATTTAGTGCCTTGATGGTAGTTTCGGCCCTTCGATCCGAGATGTAGTAAGGCGTTCTCCGAGACGTCGCATCATCAGCGAACACGAGGGCATATTTCGCTCCCCCAATGGATTGTACGCGGGCTGGGCCCCAAATATCAACCATCACCCATGCTAAAACCACTTTCTCCGGCACCACGTCAGCGTCAAATGGCCTTCTTCTCTGGTTTCCCAAAATGCACGGCTCGCACTTTCCCCCAGCACGTTCAGTTTTCGCAATGTTCAGACCATCCACAAGCGTTCGTTTTTCCAACTCGGTGATTCGGTCAACTCCAAGGTGTGCAAACCGCATGTGCCACGTTTCGATGGGTACGGCCGCCTCTAGTGATCTCACTGCGAGGGCAGTATATTCCTCACTGCACATCAACGTCCCATTAATTGCGTATAGGTCGTTTACCAACGTCGCCGTGAACTGGGGTGTCCCTTTCTGGTCTACGAAGGTTGCTTGGCTGCCTCCGAAGGTGACGAACCAACCTTCTTTGTCCAGTCTGCTAATTGAGATTAGGTTGGCAGAGACGTCTGGGCAATGGAGGGCCTTGCTGAGGGTAAATATGTTCTGGATACCTGCCACTGTTGACTTCAAGGCTACGGTGCCGATACCTTGTATTTTCAGAGCGGCGCCAGCCTTCGAAGAAGTTCCAGTTGTTTCACCAAGCGGCATGTAATGGAAAAAGCAGTCTTTGTTTTGGATGAAGTGGGTGGACGCGCCAGAGTCCCCGTACAACAGTGAGGTGTCTACAAACCCTTGACTAGCATTATTGACCATCATCGTTGACTTCTCTGCTTCCAGTGCCCTTTCAATAGACTTCAAGGTTTCGTTGTCGATGATTGCGCTCAATGCGGTGACATTGGTGTATACGGAGCCCACCTCGGATGATGACGCGGTGGCTAGGTTTGCGGAACCAGGAACGGGTGCGTCCCGTTTCCCTTTCCACCAGGGGGGATATTGACCCTGTCTCCCTCCCCCTAGTTTCCAGCACTCGTCGAGGGTATGACCCAGTCCTTTGCAACTCTCGTTGGCCGTGTGAGATTTGTCGGACCTAGGTGCTGCGCCTTTCTTTGAGGATAAGCTTTGGACTTGTAGGGTTAGCGCTTGGATCGATGCTTGGAGTGCCTGTACGGTGGACTCCTGTGTAGATGAGGGGCTGCTAATGGAGTTCCGTCCGACTACTCGTTCGCCGTGGGCAATAAGACGTGCGATAACGACCATGAGGTTGTTCTCGGCATAGAGCGTGCTGACGACGGGGTCCCAAGTCTCGGGGAATGAGTCTAGCAGAGTCGTCTTGAAACTTTTGTCGTCAATGCCTGCTCCAGCGTCATTGGCCTCCTTTCGGAGCTTTCGCATCCTTTCAATATACCCTCCATCGCCGCTGACCTTTTCCCCGTCTTGGTATTTCACGGCTTTCAACGTCTTTTCCCTACGGTTGCGGATTAGGTCCGAGTATGCGCCGTAATCAGTCTTGAGTACTTCCCAGGCCATGTGGGATGGTTTGTGAGGGTCGATTCCGACGCCAAATACGTCCTTCACATTGCGAATGATTGAGGCAAGTGCAATGCTCTCGCGTTGGGCGTATTCCAGTGAGTTCGGGGTAAGACTATTGATGGGGGTTGCTGGTAATGGTGCGAGTGTGGCGCCAGGGATTGCAACCTTGTTCTCCCAGTAATTGACGAGGCCTCGAGTGTTTCCTTCGGTCATCATGACCATTTTGAAGGTTGCCCAGTTCTTGCCATTGAATTTCTCGTCGTCGTCGAGTTTGATGGGGAGAATATGGTGAGAGGAGGTCGTCATGATAGGGGGTGTATGGAGTTCAGTATGCACAGTCTGTGCGGATTATTGAGTCTGTTTGGTAGTACGTGTGTGTTGTTGACTAGGAGGGATGAGCACGGGAGCCCAGAACCTGTTAAGATAACAACAGCTCAGTCAGTCACACGAAGATGTAGTGAACAGCTGTATTAAGTACGCTACCTGTTAAGATAACAACAGCTAGATGAGTGTAGCATAAGAAATAGGTAGCGAATGATAATATGAATGATATACGCACCTCAGTCAGTCACACGAAGATGTAGTGAACAGCTGAGGTGCGTAGAGGGGCAAACGCCGTAGTTATAAGGATCGGGAGAAAGGAGGTATAGTCTAAATATAGTAAGTAGGAACATCGAACGAGAAATAATGAGAATACTGGTAGGGTAGGCTGAATCCTCGACAGAGAACCACTGCAACAAGGAAGTGTATCGGATGAATTTTTTGAGATGAGGGCTTTTCCGTTGGTCCACTCGTAACACGCTAACAACCACGAGGTTGTCCTCTCGAACGTGCGGCGATGACCTCTCTGGTCAAGCAAGAGGGTATTGCAAGATAAGAACTTGGGCAGCGCTCTTTCTCGGAAGTGACGCTGAGCAAGGTTTGTCGAGCTTCGGCTAAATGTTAGCCACTAACTCGAATCGACTTAGATCAACCAAGGATCGCTACTCGCACTTCGGTAGACGATACACTCGGGGGTCAAAGGCGATGTGAACGGAGTTAGGAGCGAACTTAGATAGTCGCGAAACATGGAGTTCGATGTTAGGTAGATTAAACCTTAGCCGAAGCTGGGGTTTAGGCCAGCTGAGGCTCTACTTAAATACATGCGAGGTAAGCTAAAAATAGTACTGTGGGAGCGTCCGATAGGAATCGCATCCAAGGATAAGCATGAATACATAAGAAAAGAAAAAGAAAAGAATGAACCGTAACAATAACGCTTCTTTTCTTTATCATCGGTAACGGCACACTTGGAAAATAAATCTTCCAAGCGTTCAAAGAATCTCTCAAGCTCTTCAGGATCTGTCGAGCTATCAAAAACGGGCGCGGCCTTTTCATTCGGGCCGGGCATAGACTGAGCCATAGTGACTGCAGTACGAAAGGGGGGAATAATTAAATTCGGGTTGTGATTTTGGTGCGAGCTCGGTGGAGCTCTAATCGTACTGTAAGGTCCGGGAATACTAGAACTACAAGCTCTACGACGAGTAGCTGTTACTGGAGCAGGGATATTCTCTGCGCGTGCTGAGGGCACTCGCTGCGATGGGCCGGCTTGACCGGTTCTTCCTCTCTTGGGTACCTGTTCCACGGGCTGGAATGGGAAGAGGGGTGGAACAGTTAGTCCGCTCGCTGATTTCTGTGCTCTAGTTACAGGGTCCCGACTTAGAGAAGGTCCTGGTTGTCCTGGTTTATGGGACGATGGTTTTCTCTGTGAGGGGTTACCTCGGTTGTCGGCAGTCCTTGGGTTAGAAGGACCAACGGATTTGCTCCTTGAGAAGGAAATCTTCGATAAGCTTAGTAGCTAGTTACACCGAAGTGTAAAGATTCTCCATGAAACTTGAAGTAAGGTTAATTCACAGTTGAAACTCCCCCTCGCGGTGGGCTCCAAATGAAGAGGCTGGCTGTGGGCACCTGTGGAATAGTGAGCGGGCTAAAAGGCGAACCTCAAAAACCCACACACACACTCACACAACTACACAAACTACAATCACCCTCGTAAGTTCTAGGGGGAGCGATTATTTCTAATGCGATCCAACTATACTTCAATATCTCGAAGAGTTTCTCTTATTCTCAGTGCTCTTAGCGAAGCTAAGCTTTCTCTAATGACTTCCTAAGTCTAGGAACTTTTTACAGGAAGGTCGTTCACTGGCGCGACGCAACCTTCAAGGCAGATTTGAGTTATAATACACAAGGGACACTGATCCCAACAGAAACAGAGGCAATACACGCCGAAACTTTAGTGAGCTCGCTAAAAGAACACCACAGGCAAGCACTGACTTAGCCCGCTCGCTACACAACTGTATGTAGGGGTTCTCCAACTAACTCCAGCAGGTTATCTCGACTCAAGAACACTTCAGAAGTGCTCGGAAAACAGATTCAGAAACGGAACTTCGAACAGAACTGACACGGAACAGACTGAAACAGAACAGAACAGAACAGAACAGAACAGATCTCAGATTTCCACTTCAACACATTCTCCGAACAGACTTAACACACTTAACAGAACAGAAACAGCGTCACTGATTCGTATTCACTCTGACTAAGTTCTCAAAAGTCTTATCAAAAGGGTATCTCGTATTTCTCTGAGTGAGCTTGCTAATTCTACGCACAGCTCGAAGTCACAAACTGATCCTTTGTTACAGTACCGCCTTCAACACGTGCACGGGAACTCGGGGGCTCGAAACCTAGCCTCTACCTACTGTAACCAGTCTACTTATACTACAGGGGAATTAGAATTACAAACGTCGCGCAGTACCCAGACTCCTACATGCGTAGCACGTTGCCACCGCCGCTTTACTGAGCATCCGAGTCGGACTTCCCAGTTTTAGTCTCATTTCTATAGTGAGCTCGCTAAACGCGTGCCAAGAGGTGCTCCCCTGACACCCGTGGGCTCGTTCTCTAGCGACCGACAGGTCTAGGCGCATGGAACTATCAGTTCTGGCATATGTCGTTCAGGACTTCTTTCTTGGATTCACAGAGGCTTCTCGTAGACACGGCAACAAGTGAGTCTTCGAACAATGGGACTCAGAACAATGGAACGCGGGCTCGCAGACTTCGGCCGAAGCCCATTGCCCAAGCTCGTGCCGGTGATATCTGTCAGCTCGCTTAAGGATTTCCCCGGATTTTCAGGTACGGCGCGTCACAGTTAGCGAGCGCGCTAAGTGTTCTCAGTGCCAGTGCAATCTTCAAGGTTTTATCTAGCTCCCGCGAGTGTGCCTGTAAGTTAGAGCCTAAGGCATTGGGTATAGGGTTTGGCCTTCTCATCATGCATGCCCGTCAGGTACAGTGCTGTGACTAAGTCCTGTTTAGAATCCCGTTGCTTCTTATGCCATAAGTTTTATTCCATATCATTGCACCGCGTAGCATTAGTGTCGACGTGTAGTTTTAGTCCACTCGCTCACTATTTCTCAGTATGCGTGTAAAACACTCTAGATTGCAAAATTACATGCGTAAATAGGCTGCAGTCGCAACATCGGGGCACCAAATCTGTTGTTGTGGAGTCCGGGAGAGCTTTGCTCAGAAGCTTCTTGGGTACCAGAGCATGGGAGTGTGCAGACATCTCCCGCCCAGGAGGTTTGCCTACCATGTGAGTGTATATCCACTATAAGCGACATGGCTCTCTGACTGACTACATAGACAACCATGTGAGCCGTTCTCGCAAGGGTAACTTGAAGCCCCAGAAGCCCAACAGTTTTGCCCTAATTACTCATGAGCTCTTACCAGACATCCGCCTGGCATGGAAAGTGGGCCTTAGTTCTGTCGACGCAAACAAGGAACATATAAATGTCCCAGCAGCACCATTCGCCTTTCCTCGGGCCGATCTATTTGCCACCATAGCAGATGGGACTAAGCGGATGAGCACACTCAGTACCTGGCTGCGTCTCCGACCGGGCCTGCTGGCCATGCAAACGCCTTCGTACACTTCTGCCAGAATGAGCCACCAGATGTGGAGAGCAATCCTCACCTATGACTGGGTGGGCCAGTCGGACGTGAGGGATAGGATCAGAGGGAAGATTACCGATCGAAGGGAACTAGCGTTGAAATTCCTGGAGGGATGTTTGGGAGAAATGTCTGTTGAGGCCCATGGAATCTTGGTGGAAGGCAAATGGCGAGGCACACCCATCAGAGATGTCTCCAGGGAAGACGTCCACGAGATACACTGGGAGCTAGCCGAGTTGGGGTTCAGACTGGAATTTTTGTCTCTGGATAGGCATTTGAGGGACGTGAATACAGAATCAGCTATACGGAAGCATCTTGTCCATTTAGGCCACTGCTTTCCCCTCGGACACCATGATCGCTGTTGGGTGGTACACCTATCGGAGGCTCACCATGGTATCGGCAAACCCGGGTGGATGCGTTGGGCTCCGTACTTATGCTCCATGCATCGGGTTATGAGCAAATGGAGAGGTTGTCCTGCATCCATCTTGTTGGACAAGAGCAGATACACGGAGGAAATGGTGACATCTTTGGAGCAAGACCTTGCCTCTTTTTACTGCAACAGTTTCTACGTAACTTTTGGCCATGCACCCTGTTTGCCACGTGTGTTGACACACATGTCCACGGAGGGGAACTATCCTGAGTGTGCAATGCCCCTCTCGACAGCTGGGGGCTACTACAAGGATGTCACAGAGTGGGAGGCACCATACTAAGTTCTAGGCCCACATACTTAGGCTCATCCTTCATTTCCAATGATTGTGTTCAGCATGCTAGCATTCGGATTTATGAATATCGTGATCAATATTTTGCCAAAGCAGTTATGTAATATGACGTGACATGACCAATGGACTGGTTGTGTGACATGATATAATGCAATATGACTAAATGAGCATAACGATTCGATCATCATCGAACAACCAGAAGTCCAAGCAAGCCTCAAAATTGAGGAAGAGTGCTGTTGCCTCTCCAGCAAGAAGGCTGCATAATTTCATGTCGAGCTTGAGCCTGATGATATTGAAGCAAGTGCTCATGCGAAATACTTGAGAAGGCGGTTGGAATTCATCTGGGGCATGCAAGACAAACTACAAGAACCACTGGGCAGAGGACAATCACATATCTGCGAACCTAAAATAAGCATGATGCACGCACCTTGATCTTCTCCTCGGGTGCTGCAGGCATATATGGCAGACTGGTCGCCATCACCAGGAAGCGTGGCCCGCAGCGGTCCAAGTCTTGTTCAAAGTATTTCCGCAATTTATCAGTGATGGCTCGGGTGACGCATTCATAAAGGGGGAGATGCCCGCCATTGGGCTGTGTCCCATAACCCCAATCACATGGTGTTGAGCAAAAGGCATCTGTCCTGACGCATCCATGGTCAAACTGGATAAGGTCTAGAAGGTCCTGAGCTGAGTGGATGCTGCGATCATACATCCTGTGAAGATACAACAAGAGATTCTCCAGTTGGGGTAGCTCTCGGCGGAATAGCGAAGGCTATGATAATCTCTGTTCACTGATGTTACTGGCACAAAGACAGCTGCAGAACTTACCAGGCCTCCAATATATTTGTCATGACCGAAATTGTAAGAAAATCCCTCCCGCATGGCATTAAATCCATTGCTCTGGTCTGCCATCGGATGGGACAATAGAATGAGCTTCAGCACCAACCTATTTTGGAGTTGTGACTTTTCCGGGTCGGGTTTCTTGAAACCGACATCGTAAGGCTGGGGAGAGGATATTTCATGGGTGATTGTGTAGTGTGGTGTAGCGTGTTGGACTTATGGTCAAATGAGGATCACAGAAATGTGAAACCCACAGATACCTCTGATCTCTTTCATGTCGATGAGGTGGTTCCAAGGTCAGAGGGTCTGTAAGTTTACAACCGAGCCAAGGTTGCATGAAATCTTCGGTAGCAGGATCCAATGCCTTGACGACGGGTCCTGTTAGAAGATCCAAGACTTTTGCCAATCCTCCTCGTGGAGTCAACAATGCGAGAAAGAGAAACGGAGACACCGGCAGCGGTGGCATGCGGAAGGTAACAGTGCAGAGAGCAAGCAGGAGACCCTGTGCTCTCCACAGACAAGTTTCCATCGCGGTGCAATCTCTCATGCGAAAGGTAGCTGTGAAGTAATTGGAGTTGTTCGGCAAGGAAGTGTATAGATTGGTATTTTCAAGAGCCTTCTTCAATGCCTCCCTGAGGACCATTTTATTGATACCGTCGCCATGGCTCCGGCTCTGGAGTATGATCATCTTCATGCTCCCAAATTTTGCCAGCTCATCCCAATTTTCACAAAGGATGTCGGAGGAAGGAAATTGGGGTGCTAGAGGGCCCTCTATCTTCTGCAGAAACATCTCGTTGTCCTTGTCCCATGCATTCGTTGCATAAAATCTACAGAGTTCGAGCACTGCATCGGCGAGAGATTCGACATTCGGTCCCTTCAGGCACATTGTGTCGGGGAGGAGGGAGATCATGGTCTCTGACAGGCAGGAGGTGTATATGGGTTGACTTTGCACCCGCTCTGCATCACGAGGTTGTGGCCAAATTTCTCCGGCATAATAAGGGGGGGGCAATGGCAGCGGGGGCAGTTGGCTGGACGAGTCAATCGGTGAAAGGGGGCGCATGCCAAGTCGATCGGGTGGCGGTGACCTGGAAGAAGCGGGCCGCTTGTTGGACTGTGTGTTCGGCTGGGTCACCATCAGGTCAGTCACATCACACTCTAATTGTGACAGGGTCACATACCTGTGGTTCTTCCGCCAGTGAAGTGGCGTCATCGGTAAGTTGGGGACAACGAGGGATTCCCGCTGTAATCATCAGCTCAGGGGCAAGATGATTGGGTGGCAAGCCTCTGCATGCACGTAGGGAGGGCAAGGAGTTCTCATCGAAACTGCTGCCCCACTGTCGCATGACGAACAAGAGATTGTGCATTGCACGCTCTGAGAAGCAGGCATGCATTCCTCCTCTTACCACGTCAGGCATTCCTTGCAGTCCAAAATCGCCCACATACAAGTTCCTGTTTCGGAGATTGTGGCAGATGGGGCCTCGGGTCAGAGCTGGAAATATTTTCCTGCAAGTTAATATCGCCTGCAGTCAGGTAGTTGTGTGGTCAGACGTACCAATCACCAGGGTAAACTGACCGAGCACAGCTGAATGATTTTTGCCATGTTTGGGCAGAAACTTGGACTCCAGGCTTCCATGGCAGATGAAATGGTCAATTGTGGCCTGACCCTCATTAATTTTCTTGTTGACGACGAGAAGAGACGGATCCCCTTTGTGGGACATGAGCTGTAGGAAACACCAGCCCATGTTTTGAAAGCTGAGATTAGCCAGGTCATCAGTCTTGAGGCCGAGAATCTGGGGCTTCCCAGCCATTGCATTATGCGTGAGAAGTTTATTGTGAATCATCCTGTAATTGTTGTTAGCATTGGTGTAGAAGGTGATGCAAAGATCAAGCTTTTGCATGTGCTCCCGAAATGGTGTGACGTCGACATGCTCAAGATGGTATATGTCAGACTGGGGGAGTGGGTATCCGGTTTGAACACTAGGATCTGCATCCTTGATGGCTTGTTGACGATGCTCCGGACTGAGAAAGGGATAGATGAGGACGTGACATGTAGGTGCTTCGCCATGTCCCCATGCCATTCGCATGGCAGATGCTTTCTTACGCCCTGTCGTGTTGGATCCAATGAAGGCAGTGTTTCTCGATGACATGGGAAGCGTTCCAAGGAATGTGTTCGAGTTGAAGCCATGGGATAGCAGGCCAGCGACGGACGTTTCTGGTCTGACGAAAGGTTGGGGAAGAGTGACCGCCTGAGTATTGGGCCTTGGGGTGTTTTCCTGAAGCAGACCGGCGGTGGTGAGCCTGCAAAGAGGTGATGTAGTGGCTACCAGATTGCGTCGTGGGATGGGGGCTTGGATGCTGGTGGATACTGCTGTGGGACCAGCTGCTGATTGTGTGTTAGCAGGATTGGCCTGTGGTGCAGGTTTGGGATGTCAATGGGCTGTTTGAGAATTACGAAAGAGAGCGGACAGTGGGAGTGGCTGAGATTCGCTCTGCATGCTAGGGGGCATTGGGCAGCAGTGCAAGATCTTGCAAGACCTCAGAGGAATAAAAATAAATTCAATTTAATTATATGTTATTTTCTTTTACCAATGTCGAAGATTTTCATAGCACCCTGCTGGGAAAGTAATGAGATTGTCCAGTCTGGCCGTTGTGACCACTGTGACATGATTTGCTGACTGTACCTTATCGCTGTCTTTTTATGGTAGGTGAGCTACCAAATGGCTGTGCCGACCGAATTTTTTTGGTGTGAGATCGCACGCGGCCCCACGAGATCTTGTGCGACCTCACGAGACCGCACAAGATCTCATAATTTTGTCCAGTAATTCCAAGGGTATGAATAGGTTCTCCGTGTTGAGATTTGCAACTTCAAGCTCATGCTAGAAGATTCCCGAAGCTTCGGCTTATTCATTTGTCACGATACTTAGATATATTTAGTACTTTTGGTAGAATATTCTAGATACTTTTCGTAGTATATAAGGAGCTCATTAGGAGCTCTAGTAGCTAACAATTCAGTATTATACCTACTGCAAGCCTCCCACTGCAATAATTCCAACACTCCATCACTGCTGGAACCTGTGTTCGGATCCTCAGCGAAGTCTTGAGTCAAGTCCTGGTGGTTAGTCCCTCCCTGACTGCAGTAACAGTCATAAAACTGACCTCACAATGCAGAGCGGTTTGGAGACTAGCTCTCGGCCAAACACTAATTTCCGTAGTGGAGCATATCGCTTCGCCATCGTTGAGAAGAGGACTGAAATGGTGGAGGTTGTTTCGAGAGTAAGTTACTCGGCTTGGGATCTCGAGGTGGTGATCTAAAGGGCTGGATTGTAATTCGGTACATAATACGATATACAACAAATAGCTTCTCTGAGCAACTTCCACCTGGTGTACTATCGTTATCCTAGTCGAACGCACTCAAACTAGAATTTGTCCAGCTGGTAAGCTTAAATTATATAGACGTCCAACTAGCCATAAGTCCTGACTCGGAATTTTATCTGCGTGACATTCATGGGTCAATGTGAGAGTGTAATGGTCGAGACTGCGTCGACGCATTTTATCAATGTTCCTGCGTAACCGTGCCACTATACAGTATTTTCGATGGCTATCACACAATTACCGACTTGGCCTGCTTCACCGTCCTGAGCATAGAATACTATGGCCTTCGTGTGGGTATACGACGCGCATAAAATATGTATATAAGACGCACCCTATTACAAGCACCCATATATAATGGGGTCGCATGGCGACTCTGAGCGCATCAGCTTCACGATATGCGTAGGGATATTGGACAGGTCCAGAGAAGCTCGGGAGTGTAGAGACGGATATATATTTGTGACAGGGCTCAGAAGCTGGTTTATAGAGATGATAACTACAGGAGAGAAGTGACACCCGACATGAATCCCAAAACACCATTTGCTGGTCCATCGAGAGGCCTCGAAATGCAAAATACTTTTTGTCGTACATTTTTTCGTATCCATTAGGTTCAAAAGGACGACTCGGTCAGCAGAAGAGATTGAGCATTGCGGTAGCTGGATGAAGCGTGCGCCGTGAATGCAATTGAGATTCACCGGAGTCCGGACCGGAACCGCCGCTCACACACGCGCAGGATTCAACAAGTAGAATAAAATTGTGAGTAAATATGCATGCATTAGTGTTACAATAATAATAGAAGCTATCATGATTTTATGGGTCCGTTCTCTGCAGCATGAACTGCAGATGCAAGATCAAAGTGGAAGAAGGGAGTTTGTAGGGCAGAATCATCCTGGCTGATTGAAGGACTTGGGTCTCTATCGTGCTTCCAGTCCGCCGTCTCGACGTCTCCTTCGCGTTGTTCTGATGGTGCCCCGGCACCGTCTCGATAGGGAACAACGGCCGCGATTTCTTGGGGGACTCGCTGGCCTACACCGAAGCCACCTGCGATTAGTGCCCGGCGGATCCAAGGAGAAAGAATAGTGGCAAAGTGGAACTAAATAGCTTGTAAGGTCAAGATTTCACTAGAGAGCATCAGAAAAGACGTACCTCTACAGGGTGGTCGGTCCATCGTTCTATTTCATTCCGGGTATCGATTAGTGCTTGGACAGCAGTGGTATCAATTTGCGAGCTGTGGAAGAGAGATCAATACGTAAAAATGAGACTTGGGATTGGAAACACACATCACAGAGAAATCGAGAACGACGGCCCGTAGTAATGGAAGATTCGCGTTGGCTTCGGCAGCAGCACCGTGATCGCCTCGTTTAGGTCCAGGATCGTTCCATGCACGGTCGCTCAGCTTCACCGTGCTCATGTCCTTGCCTCTTCTCGTGTTCTCCTTCACATAGTCCACGAGAGTCGAGTTCAACTGCGCGCTATTGGGGTAGAGGAAACTCTCTTCGAACCGATAAACAACGACACCTGGAGGAGGCGGAGTGACTTGAACGTCTGCATTGGTGACGCCGTCCTTGGTCAGGGGAGCAAATACTTCTCGGTGGTGCTTGAGATCTGAACCGCCATCGTTCAGGGTAACCTTGCCAAGGAAGTAACCACGAGGATGAGCGAGGCGTATGAGGAGAAGCGCAAGAGAAGTGCAGATGGACACATATATGCCATTTTCGATGGATGAGAAGATTGTCACAAGAACGGCCGCGAACCATATTACGAACTCCAAGGGAGACACGCGCCAGTAAGAATAAACCTAATAACAGAATAAGCACAGCACTATGATGAGTAAGGAGCGAACATACCTGCTGAGGAGATGCCACCAGATCAGCCACTGCATGGATAATCACGGCAGAGAGACCAGCAGTGGGAATCCAGTAGAACGCAGGTGTCAGGCCGTACAATGCCACAATCACGACAATTGCAGTGATGATACCGGCAGCAGGGGTTCTCACGCCTGACTTCGATTTCAAAGCAGAGCGAGAAAACGAGCCAGTAGCGGGGTACGCGCCAAAGCACGAGCCCACAGTGTTCGTAACTCCTATGGCGATAAGCTCTTGATTCGGGTTAATTTTGTAACCGTTCACGCGTCCGAAGGCTTCAAGAATATTGTTAGGCACGATATCTTTGGATTACGTATGGTGGGACTTACATTTAGCAATGGCGATGTGCTCCAGTAATAGAATGATAACTGCAACAGGAAGCTTGGCAGCCAAAGCAGAAACTAGGTCTGGGTCGATGTCGGGCTGCCCGACGTGTCTAAGACCACTAGGGACAGTCTTTAAGATTTTGATCGGGTAGCTTCCCTTCGCATTACGTCGGTGTCTTGTGTATAGCCATGCAGCGATCGTCAGAATAAGGATAACGAAGGCATTCCTGAAAACGGAGATAAAGAAGAAGAGTCGACCTCTGCGAGGGAAACGCTTTGTGAGCTGATCGCATACGATACGGATGGAGTATAATGTGACCAATCCAGTCAGTCCCCAGGCGGCATCGAGCTTCGTGTTCGGCAGTCCCTTCAAGGTATTTATGATAACTTTGTAAGTGGCCGCGCGCGTACTAGAATTTGAGGTTAGCTTCGATGATGAATCAGAGAATCAGGATGCGTACTCGAAACCGGTGATACCCATTAAACCAGGGACTTGACCAGCGATAATATTAATCGCAGAACCGGTCATGAACCCGCTGACGGCCGGTGCAGGAATGAAGTCGACTATCCACCCAAGCCGCAGGAGTCCGATGCCCAAGACAATAAAACCGGCAATAAACGCGACAGTGGTGGCTATCTGAGGACCTCCCCATTGATTGGGATGTTTTTCATCGATATACTTGATGATCTCGGACACGGTCAAGGACATGACAGCGACTGGACCAATGGACACGTCTTTTGAAGTTGCAAAGAACTAGATGGCAAATATTAGCAAGTTAGGTTCAGGTCATGGTAAAACAGGACATACGCAGTAAATCAATACACCAACAAAAGAAGAATATAGTCCATATTCGGGATCGAGGGTCGCAATCTATGATCCATCAGACGCATTTTCTGGAGGATCAAAACGCTACTCACCTGAGCGTAGGACATGCTCTGAGGAACAATAACCATCCCAACAGTAAGACCAGCGATAACGTCACCAGTAAGCCATCCAAGATCTGGGATCCGTTCAGTCGCTTGTTTCTGTCAAAGGGCACCGTGAAACTCACTGTATCTAGTGATCCATCCAAATATAGGGAACAAACTGACAAAGTAATCCACCACCTATAATCAAATAAATGAGTACGATTCAGCATCAGAGAGATGTATACACATACCCTTTTACCGGGGTTCTTGGTGTACTGGAGTACATAGTCTTTCGAAGAGACAACTGGGACAATCTCCTCCGGATATCCGATGATACGTTTACCGAGTCGTTTAGCGGTGCTGGTCATGATGCTGATTTGACCTCGGGGAAGGCGTTTCTAAAGCTGCTGTGTCTCTGAACTCGGCGCTAAAAAATCACAGCGTTATAGTTAGCTCCGGTATGCTCTGAATGAATAAAACGTGACGTACAGACTTCTCACGTAAAAAGAAGAGTCAATTGGACAGAAACGTAGAAAAGGAAAGTCGGTAGCGACAAGTGAACGGGCAAGCCATTTTCAAGAGTATTTTTGAGGCCCAGTAATTGCGACATTAGGTATTCACTCCGCCCAAGGATTGCGCAATGCGGAGTCTGAATGACACCACGCGTGAATTCGAAAATTCAGTTGATGCCATTGGCGAATGTCGACGCGATTGGGCCCTGGTATGTCGCTTTGTCGCTGGCGGGCCAGGAAAGGCTAGGAAATCGGCTGGGATCGACGTCCAACAATGTGGACTGTAAAAGACCCGAGGATATGTGGGCCCCCTTGATTTAGGAAAAAAAAGTTTCTAAACAAGGTAATAGCCGCGAAGCCGATCATGTGCACCACGCTTCCTTGAGCTTAGCATAGTCTTCGAAAGAAATCATTCAGTCGTACTGTAGGGACAATTAAAAGAAAAGAAGGAGATTGCAAGCGTCTATAACGATAGTAGATCATCACGAGAACCGAAGTACTTCGACTAGCAGCTCAATACGGTACTTACAATCTAACATAGGACAAAACCACCTGCTCTATTATTCGTATGGCCCTATAGGCGATGACGTGACAATTCATGAAGTCCAAAAGTCGTGCTAGCATGTTGCCCGAAGTTTGATCGATGGACGATCCCGAGTCCGCAAATGAATACATCAGGAAGGC